TGCTGCTGTGGTGAGGCAGAGGTGCACTATTGAAACATCTGGGACACCACCTTATTTTTGCTGTCATTTAAACACTGGATAGTTGGGCTGGTAGTTCTTTTTTTCTCCCAATTACAATAGAGTGAAGTGAGGCCAGAATAAAAACCTAGGAACTGGAAATCCTTTTAATGTGTTTAAACTTTAGGGAATTGTGCTTGCATGTTATCTCCTGCAGCTGTTCAAAAGCTAATGATTACTCTAGGTATTTATCCTTGATCATCACTTGTTAAGGTTTAGGGATATCTTCACAACATTTAATGAGCATTATTGGTCAGGAATTTTACTTCTCTGTTTTTTCCTTCTTGGTTAGCTGTAGTCAGGAACAACAGCTATTAGGCTGGGAACTTGAACACCGAGCTGTATGGAACTGAATAGCTGGAATCAACACAATTATTCCAGTATCTGAGATTTAGTCTTAGGGGTGGGTTATCTTCTGGAAGGTATATATAGTTTTACAGTCAGTCTAGTTTATAGATATAATTTTCTAAGTTAATAATACTGCTTTTTAAACTACCTAACTTCATTTTCTTCTAAGAATTTCTCTTAGAGAACCTTTTTGAAACAGGAGAAAAGATGACTACATTTAGAGTGCAGAGCAGGCACAAGCAGACAGTAAGTTTCTACTTCTAAATAACAACTAAAATGTGTTTCTCTGTGGCAGTATTAGAATCTGAACTCTTAACTGAAATCACTAATTAGTGCCAAGGATCACTGAAAGGTTTAGGTCAATTCAAAAGCATTGTAACCTCTCAGAGTAGGAGACTGGGGAACAAATGGAACTGAGTAAGTGCACTCTGGTACGTTAGTGTGGTGTTAACATCATGAATATGTGAATGTCTAATTAAAAAAAAATGTGCTATTCAAGAGTAATGACTGCATAAAAAGAACAACTCCAGCTGGGCCTCTGAATGCAGCAACCCTGTCACGTCATCACGGCATCCCACATCCTGAAATAACGTCGGGTTTGAGCTCGGCAGAGTTTGTGCATCTGTCTGGCTTGTATCAAACTGAAGTAAAGGCTTTAGATAAGTTAATGTTCTTCATTTTTCCTTGTGTCTTTGAAACAACGTGGCTGTCAGCCAGTTGTTTGAAGAAAGACACCGAATTTCAGCCAGATGCGATTGGCTTATTAGCTTGGAAGGTTTCTCCATCCCTGTTACTTGTCTCCTGTTTTGCAGTCACAGAAAGCGTTCTCTGCTGCAGCACAGCGCAGCAGTCTAAACCTCTGTCTGAAGGTTGGTGAGTTTGGACCAGGTAGCTTTTGAGAGTTTATTTTAGTAAACGTGCCTGGTGGTGTCTTTTGTGTGGTCGATGAAGTAGCTAGCATGGGTGTTTATCTGTGTTGCAGGAGGCTTACTTGAGGCTCCAGCTTAAAGGTGTCGTGAGTTACAGCAGTGATGGCAGCAGCAGAACTGTCTTGCTAGTAAGTGAATCAATTTGTAGGGCAAAAGTGAGATACTTTTGAGCAATTCGATGGGTAAGGATTTTTTTGGAGGAGCATGGCCAGCAGGTCGAGGGAGGCGATTCTGCACCTCTGCTCTGCTCTCGTGAGACCCCACCTGGAATACTGCATTCAGCTCTGGAGTCCCCAACACAAGAAGGACATGGAGCTGCTGGAGCGGGGCCAGAGGAGGCCACGAAGATGATCCGAGGGCTGGAGCACCTCTGCTATGGAGACAGGCTGAGAGAGTTGGGGCTGTTCAGCCTGGAGAAGAGAAGGCTCGGGGGTGATCTTATTGCAGCCTTCCAGTACCTAAAGGGGGCCTACAGGAAAGCTGGAGAGGGACTTTTTACAAGGGTGTGTAGTGATAAGACAAGGGGCAATGGCTTTAAACTGAAAGAGGGGAGATTTAGATTGGATCTAAGGAAGAAATTTTTCACTCAGAGGGTGGTGAGGCAGTGGAACAGGTTGTCCAGAGAAGTTGTGGCTGCCCCATCCCTGGAAGTGTTCAAGGCCAGGTTGGATGAGGCTTTGGGCAACCTGGTGTAGTGGAGGGTGTCCCTGCCCATGGCAGGGGGGTTGGAACTGGATGATCTTTGAGGTCCCTTCCAACCCAAACCATTCTGTGATTCTGTGATACAGTGAAGAAGTACTAAGTTCCCACTTCTCACAGCAACACACAAGTTTCAATTTCATACTGAGGAAAAGCTGCAACTCTAACCTGATGCATACTGAGCAGCACCATCTTCACAAAGTGATCTTAGTATTTTAATGAAAAGAAAGTGCTGATGTCTCATGTTATGTTGTACTTTTATAAATACAGTGGGTGTGCCTTCGTGTGGTCGCACATCATCTATGATTTAGAAACACATGGGCATTCTTTTAAAATAACCTTCCCAAGCCTTGGCTGACTTCCATAATCCTTGAAACAAGTAATAATTAACTTATAATTCCCAGCTGATACCAAAGCAATATTACGATCAGTCTTGGTCTGGAAATAAGAGCAGCTCTACCTAGAGCACTCCCTGTGCGTGGAGGGAAGGCACGAGCTGCCTCAGTACCTAGGTCACAGCTGTGCGAATGCTCTCCCACCACTGTCAGAGCAGTGTGGTTTATTTGGTTGGGCTTTTTTTTAAAGGAAAAAGCCTGGCTCTGGAGCTAGTCATTTCCACTATGAAGGAGTGTAGCTCAGCAGCGGGTACCCATCCTGTAAGCACTTTGTTCAGTCCAGCTGCTTGGCAGAATTTAGAGGCTAAAAGTACTAAACTTGGATCTTACTGCTGATCACTTAGGCTGCTTGTTTTGAAGGCTAGATCCTAAGTTTCCAAGAAGATGGATGCTGTGCCTGAGGCTCCGTGGGGTTCCACAACTGTTTGGTATGATCAGCAGGGCTCTGGCATGCCCTGCTGCCTTCCCTCGTTACCAGAGGTGCAGTCTTGTCCTCCTTGTGTGCTCACTGGGGCTTGTCTGAGCCCATGGAGAAGGTAGTTCAGAGAGCTTCACCAACAAGGACACTAACTTCTTTTTGTTTAGTTTACTGAAGTAGCTCATGGCAGGGTCTGGTGAACATCTGTGCTGGCATGTAGAAGGGGTGGGAATGTTCGGCTGGGCAGGAGATGTCTCAGTTTACTTGAATTTATGCCCTCCCTCAGTTGCCTGAGATGGGAAATGCCCCAGCTGCCCTGCTCGGGATGTTCCATGTCCTGTAAGGGTTGTGTGGCCTTGCAGAGAACCAGGGACCCCCAGTTTACGCTACCCAGACTTGTATTTTCTGCTTTTTGGTCTGCATTGCACTCCTCTGGCAGTGCTCAAAGCCCCAGCAGAGGTGAGGCATGCCTGCTGTCTCTGTGGGATGTCATAAACGGCACTGGTCCTGTTACAAGTGAGCAGGCAAGAAATGGGGGTTTTAACATGAAGCGTTTATTGCACTGTGAGCCAGTGACAGGACTGAGCTGACAAACACTGTCTGCCTAATTTCAGGACAATATTTTTCCATTGCATTTGCAGGGGCAATGCGTCCTCTCTTTCCCACTCTTGTCTTTTCTTCTTTTTCCACATTCAATCTTGTGCGGGGTTTACATGATGGGGTTTCAGTAGCACAGGAGGGGCTGCAGAAATGGCCCCTGTAAGTAGCTGTGAAAGCTTCCCGGGCTCCAAAACCATCAGACAGGTGAGACCCTCCCCATCCCCTCGGGCCAAGGATGAGCCCATCAGTGCCTCCATGAATGCGAATTCCTTATTTAAGACGGGACAAAGGAGCCCAAACTGGGCGGCTTGAAGCTGACAAGAGAGGGGAGGAGGAGGGCTGGCCCCCCGGCCTCTGCAGCGAGCCGCCACTACCTGACTGGAGATCTGGAGATGGCCATGGTGGCACGGCTCGCAGAGCTCCAAAGTGCCCCGCTCCCGCCCCCGGGGTGCCCGCTGGGCGGAGTTGATCCTGCTGGGACTGTTGAGGTTCATCGAGCCCGGCACGGCTGCAGTGGAGGGAGGACTGAGACCTGAGAGAAACGGCCATGCAGACACCAAGGACAGTGAGGATGGAGCAGGAGGAGGTGTGCGGGAGCTGAGGTTCCTCTGCAACCTGTGGTGAGATGGCAGGCAGCCCCCCTGCTGCCTATGGAGTTGAACAGTGGAGCAGAGGATCCCACACTGGAGCAGAGATGCCTGTGCCTGAGGGAGGTCATAGAGAATGGTCTCCGTGAGCTGCTGGAGGCTGACGACGAGGCGGAGAGGCATCTGAAGCCCGTGGAGAATGCCATGCCAGAGGGGGTGGCAGTTCCCTGAGAAGCCATGACTCCATGGGGAGCAAGCCCACGCTGGAGCAATCTGATGGGTAAGGATTGCATCCTGTGTGAAGGACTTGCATTGGAGAAGTCTGTGGAGTGTCCCGTGAGTAGGGGATCCATTGGAGCAGGGGAAAAAAAGAGTGTAAGGAGTCCTCCTCCTTTAAGAACGGAGTGGCAGGAATAACATGTGACGAACTGACCTGCAACTCCCCCTCCCATTCCCTGTCCCCTGTGCCACTGAGAGAGGAGGTAGAGCCAGGAAGAAGGGAGGAATGGGGGAAAGGTGTTTTTAAGGATCTGGCTATGTTTCTTGTTATCTTCTCTGAATTGAACATTAATTAAATTGATTTGTCCCCAAGCTGAGTCTGTTTTGCTGGGGGGCCACAGTTGGTGGGTGATCCCTCCCTGCTCCTGTCTCAACCCTCATTCCTTTTGTTAAATTTTTCTCCTCTCCACCTCACTGCGGGGAGGAGTGAGCGAACGGCCTCGTGGTGGCTGAGCTGCCGGCTCGGCTAAACCAGGACAAATCTACAGGAACTGGGGTTATTTACCCTCCTCAAATCTCAGAAGTTTCTTCGGGAGAAACTGCATCACATTTTTTGTTTACAGGGCCAACAGAGCTGTGCTAGAAATTGGGAAAGAG